AACTGGGCTGGTGCACCTAAATAATAAATATCCTCCTCAACCCCATTGGTCTGTCTAATTCCTTATCAATCCTGCTACATGGTGACTATCAATTTACCTCATCCCCTTTCTGAAAAAAATTTTTATTGATACATAACAAATGTACATATTTCGGGAATACATGTGATAACACATTCATGTAATTTGTAAAGATCAAATCAGGGCAATTGGGATATCCATCACCTTAAATATTTGTCTTTTCTTTATCTTAGAACCACTCAAATTATTATTTTCTAGCTATTTTGAAATATACAATAGATTCACCTCATCTCCTTTTACCTCATGTTCAGTTTCCTTGTAAAATTAATCAATATACCCTCTGAAGTGTTCCATCTTAGCACTTAAAATATTCAATGTCTTTATTTCATCTACCCTTACAGTAGCTCCTTGAGAGTAGAACCTAGTTCCTATTTGATTCTGTGTCTTTACCACTTAGCACAGTGCATGGTACCTAATAGGTGCACAATAAAAGTAGAGCAAAATAGTGGAAGTGTAGATTCTGTGATGAGAAGAGAACTGTAGGCCTTATAGAGGTCCTAATGTGAATTTTCACATTTCAATTTATGAAATAGTTTAATATACTTATAAGTATTAGTGCAATACATTAAAAATGATTAAAAAGAAAACATTTCTTGCTCTACTTACATCCTTAATACAATTTTCTATGTTATATGCATATATCAAAAAACTAGAGTAATAATACAGCACAAATGTTACTATGTAGGGAAGAGGAGCAGCAATGGAATTCCATATGGTTGATGTGCAGGTGAAGGTATTCAACTGCCAGTTTATTCCATCATTAATTTCCATCTCTGAAGGCTGACACCACTTCATGTCAGATGTAATGGGAAAAGAACACTCTCTTCAATAAACGGTGCTGGGAAAACATAATATTCACATGCAGAAGAATGAAATCAAACCCTTATCTCACACCATATACAAAAATCAACTCAAAATGCATTAAAGACTTAAACATAAGACTTGAAATTGTAAAACTACTGGAATAAAACACAGAGGAAAAACTATATGACATTAGTTGGGGCAATAATTTTTTGGATTTGACCCCAAAAGCACAGGCAACAAAAGCTAAAATAAACAAATAGGATTAAATCAGACTAAAAAGCTTCTGCATAGCAAAGGAAACAATTAACAGAGTAAAGACAAAACCTATAGATTGGGAGAAAATATCTGAAAGCAATACATCTGAAAAGGGGTTAATATCCAAAATACATAAGGAACTCAGACAACTCAATAACAAGAAAAGAGATAACCCAATTATGGGCAAAGGACCTGAACAGTCATTTTTCAAATAAAGACATACAAATGACCAACAGATATATGAAAAAATGCTCAACATCACTTATCATTAGGGAAGTGCAAATTAAAACCACAACAAGATATCAGCTCATATCTGTCAGAATGGCTATTATCAAAAAGATGAAAGGTAAGTGTTGGCAAGGATGTGGAGACAAGAAAACCTTTGTACACTGTTGGTGGGAATATAAATTAGTACAGCCATTATGGAAAACTGTGGTTTTCCTCAAAAAGCTAAGAATAGAACTGCCATATGATCCAGCAATCCTACTTCTGGGTATATATCCAAAAGACTTGAAATTAGTATATTGAGGAGATCTCTGCATTCCCATGTTCATTGCGTCGCTATTCACAATAGTCAAGATACAGAATCAACCTAAGTGTCCATCAGTGGATGAACTGATAAAGAAACTGTGGTATACACATAATGAAATACTATTTCATTATAAAAATAAAGAAATCCTTCCCCTTCAGTGGGGAACTGAAGCTATAACATGATCATGTTTACATTTTTGAAAGATTAGTCTGGGAGGAGTATGGAACATGAACAGTGGGCAAGTAAGATAGAGTGAAGAAGTCAGTTAGAAAGTCTTTTCAAGTCATCCAAGCAAGAGGTCTCAAGTGGCCTGGTCTAGAATAGTGACAGTGGACATTTGCAACAACCTAGATGAAACTGGAGGACATTATGCTAAGTGAAATAAGCCAGACACAGAAAGATAAATACTGTATGATATCACTTATATGTGGAATCTAAAAAAAGTTGAACTCATAGAAGCAGAGAGTAAAATTGTGGTTACCAGGGGCAGTGAGGCTTGGGGAGAAAAGGGATTGGGGAGATGTTGATCAAAGGATACAAAGCTTTGGCTAGACAGAGGAGTAAGTTCAGGAGATCTATTGTACAACACGTTGATTGTAGTTAATAAGAGTGTATTGAATATTCAAAATTGCTGAAAGTAGATTTTACATGTTCACACCACAAAAAATGGTTTAAAATGGCCGGGGGTGGTGGCCCACGCCTGTAATCCCAGCACCTTGGGAGGCTGAGGTGGGTGGATCACCTGAGGTCAGGAGTTCGAGACCAACCTGACCAACATGGTGAAACGCCATCTCTACTAAATTAAAAAAAAAAAAATTAGCCAGGTGTGGTGGCGCATGTCTGTAATCCCAGCTACTTGGGAGGCTGAGGCAGGAGAATCACTTGAACCTGGCAGGCGGAGGTTGCAGTGAGCCGAGATTGTGCCATTGCACTCTAGCCTGGGCAACAAGAGCGAGACTCCGTCTCAAAAAAAAAAAAAAAAAAAGATTAAAAATATGAGGGAACTGACATGTTAATTCATTTAATCATTCCACAATGTATATTAAAACACCTGTTGTACAACATAAATATATAAATTTTGTCAATTAAAAATAAATAAATGTTCAAGACACATTTTTAAAAGAAAGGTTGTCATTGGTAAAATAAAAACTGGAATATCTTCAGAGTTGTCAGCATTAAATGTAATACAGGCATACAATTTTTTATACCCAGGTTTACTAGTCAATCAAGTTTATATTATCTTTACTAGATACTTAAGATTATAAAACTATAAATGTATCATCCCAGGCAGGGTTTCATACAGTAGGCTCCAATATCAAAGAAGCAGTCTGTATAAGTAGTGAATTTTTAAAATATATTCTTGGATTTTATTTGTTAATATTTTTTGTAGGATTCTGCCAAATATAATGACTACATGAGACCAGTCAGCAGCTTCCTTTCTTTGTTAATTTTCAAAGACTTATGTGGCAATTGGTCTATGCATCTTTCTGCTTCTTCTTGGATGGTATATAGTAATTTATATTTTGCTTGGAAATCATCCATTTCCTCTAGATTTTCAAATAGGCTGTTGCCAAATGGTTGCACAATCATAATTATTTTAATCTCCCTTCTAGCTGTCAGCTCTTTTATTCCCAATGTTGTAAACTTTTGCATTCTCTTTTCTTTTTTTTTTTTTTTTTTTTTTTTTTTTTTTTTGAGATGGAGTCTCACGCTGTTGCCCAGGCTGGAGTGCAGTGGCGCGATCTCGGCTCACTGCAAGCTCCGCCTCCTGGGTTCACGCCATTCTCCTGCCTCAGCCTCCTGAGTAGCTAGGACTACAGGCACCCGCCACCGCGCCCGGCTAATTTTTTGTATTTTTAGTAGAGACGGAGTTTCACTGTGGTCTCGATCTCCTGACCTTGTGATCCGCCCGCCTCGGCCTCCCAAAGTGCTGGGATTACAGGCTTGAGCCACCGCGCCCGGCCCGCATTCTCTTTTCTATTTAATCAGAGGAGCTTATTTTATTAGACTTTACAAGGAATTTTGTATCTGTTTTTGTTGGTAGTGTTATTAATTTAAGTTTTTATCTTTAAAAATTTTATCTTCCTAATTATTTTATTTTCTACTTTCTTAAGATAAAAACGAAATTTTCTTAAAATTTATCTTTTTTAAACAATAATGATATTTAAAGCCACACATTTTTATTTAAGTTTTAGCTCTCACAGTGCCCTATTAGCATTGGTATGAAGTTTTCTTCTTCATTGCCTTAGATAGTTAACAATTTTCCTTTGATTTCCTCTTGGGCAAAAGAACTATATTTTTAAATTTCTAAATAGTTAAAATTTTCATGGTCAAATTTTTATTAATTAGTTCTAATTTTATTGAATTACGAGAAAATATAGACTGTAAAATTCTTCAAAATTTTGTTACGGTTTTCTTTATGGCCAAGTATATTACTGCTTTAAAGAAAATGAACGTTCTCTGTGTGTGTGTGTGTGTGTTCTGGTTTATTACTGTTATTTATTTGTTACGTTTTATTTGAATTCCTTTGTCTTTACTTATGTTTTATCTACTAGACCTGTCTAATAATGAAAGAAGTGATTTGAAAATGCCATTATAATTATATTTTTCTCAAGTTCTCCATGTATTTCTAATAACTTTTGCTTTCTATATTTAGCTTAGTGCTACAGCATTAATACTGTTATGTCTTAATAAATAGTGCCTTTTATCATTATATGATATCCCTCCTCATCCTTAAAGGAGGAAGTTTTAGGTAGGCCTAAAACTCCAGGTAAGAAACATCCTTATGTCTGAAGGCAAAAGGTCGCAGAGAAGAATCTGAAGAAACAGGCCATGCTGTTTCCCCCAGCTGATTAATATCAGATCATGCCCTTTTTGTCAGATAAGGCCTAAAAATCCTTATCCTTACCCTCTTTACCTGGCTTTTAGCCTTACATTCTATATTATTTGTTGTTAATATTATCACTTCTGCCTTCCTTTGGTTTCCATTTCCCTGTTATTTTTTTGGCTGAAATTTTAGGAGTTAACTCATTGAAGTTGACATTGGTTAACCATGGAGAATTGTAATACAGTATACTTTAACCAAGAACTTTACCTACAAAAGTTAGGATAGTGCATAATAAATAAATTTTCCACTTTAATTATTTAAGTTTAAAAAGTCCACATTATAGAGTTTCATAACAAGTAGTTATGATATCTAATTTGAAAATTATTTTCTAGTTCTTACTCTTACAAGCCCTTTCCTCTGGCATATATTTATTGGTTGTCCTTTTTTTTTTTCTTTCCTGCCCAGCCATCCCTCTCTGTCTTTTCTTAAATAATAAAAACTTACCTGTTGACTGGGATTTCTTCAAAGTTAAAATCTGTTTCATAAAACAAACACAAGTTTTACATTATTTTTGTGTAAATGCTTTTTCTTAAAATGCATTTTAAAATATATTTAAAATATTAATTTAAAAATAGATGTTTACTTCCTACAAGGCTAGCAGGTGAGCCATTTAGGTTGTTTGCTATAATCGTTCCACCTTGCTGTCTGGTTCCAACAGGTTCGTGGGCTTGCGAAGATAATGATGGTTGTAATGTATCATGTAGTCAAAATAATCTAAAAATAAGAGACAAAATGAGATGAAAACATAAACCTAGTTTATGTCAATACAGTAATGACATATGCGTACCCTCCCATTACAAACTAACAGGACCTCAAATTATTAGGTAAAAGAGGAGTGATTTTAAGTTATTTATTGAATAAATTTTAATTAAGCCCTCGTTATGTGCCAGACATTGTACTAGGTGCTAAACATACAGCAGTGAGGAAAAAAAGATAAAAATCCCTGCCTTCATGTGATTTACATTCTAATGGAGACAGTAAACAACAAAGATGAAGTATATGCTATGTCAGATACTGATAAATGCTAAGGATAAAACATCAGGGAAAGAGACATGACATGTCAGTGGGAGAGATATGTCCAATAATGAAAGAGATGGTTTGAAATTGCCCACTATAACAGTATTTTTCTCAAGTTCTCCATGTATTTCTAATAGTTTTTGCTTCATGTATTTAGCTTGGCACATGCAGTAATTTAAATTTTAAATAGGAATGGCTCACCAAGAAGGGTGCTTTTAAGTAATGACCTAAAGGATGTGAGAAAGTGAACCATGGTGATCCTGCAGGAGAAGTATGAGTAAAAGATCTCAGTAAAATTATAATTTGTTGAATATTATAAAAGAAGAAGTACAGAATATTACATGAATGTATCAAGGAAATTTAACTTCATCTAGGGAGTCAAGAATTAGTCTTCTGTGTTAGTTAATCTGTGACTTAAAGGATAAAATATAAATTATATAAGCCATGAGGATTAGGGCCAAGGGAAGGAGAGAAAAGGATTCCAGCCTGAGAATTAGAAAGACCCTAGGGGATGTGTAAATAAGTGAAACAACTCCAGTATCCCAGAAAGTTGAGCAAGAACAACACAAAATGAAGCTTGTAGGCTATATCCTTGGATAACTGAAATTCTCTTAAGGGTTTTGATCAAGGGAACAGCATGATTATATTTGACTTTCTAAAATATCACTCTGATTGCCATATTCAGAATGGGTTATAGGAGGGCAAATGGATGTAGGGGGGCCAGTTATGTAGCTATTATAGTAATCCAGGAGAAAAATGACAGTGGTTTTAGCTAAGGTTGAGGCAGTTTGGACAGATAGAAGTGGAGAGAACTGACACATCATTGAGCAGTAGAATGAATAGGATTTGGTAATGGGTTGCATATGGAAGTGAGGGAGAAGGAAGTGTCAAAAATAATTCCCTGGTATCAACTGAGCGCCTGAATGGACAACAGTGCCATTTACTAAGCACACGCCAAAGGCAAAGGAGCAAGGTTTGGGAGATGGTAAGTGAGCCATTTCGTTTTGTATAAATTGAGTTTGAGATAATTGTAGAACATGCAAGCGGAAAAGTCCAGTAGACAGCTGGATATATAAGTTTGGAGCTGTAGACATAAATGTAAACAGAAATATAATCTCTCTCTTTCTCTCTCTCTCTCTGTCTCTCTCTCTCTGTCTCTCTCTCTCCAGAATATACATAGTAATTAAAACCCTAAGGGAAGTATCTCCAACCAAGGCCAGAGATAGAGAAAAATCATTCAATTAAACTGCCAAGGATAGAGCTTTTGGTTTACCATGGAATAAGTTGGTAAGAGTGATAGAAGGATAGAAGTACAAAAACAACAATAACAGCACTTACTATGGGCCAGGCACTGTTCTAATCACTCTACGTATATCAACTCATTTAATTTTGCCAGCAATCTTAAAAGGATAAGGAAGCTGAGGTACAGAGAGGCTAAATGATCTGCCCAAAAACACAATCTATGAATGGCAGAGTGAAATTGGAATCCAAGCACTCTGGCTCCATGGCCAGCATTTTAAAATTACAGTAATTTAAGAGAAAAAGTGGTTTCAACTGGTCACAGGATTGTCAACAGAATTGGTTGAAGCAATGAGGGTGACACTACTGTGGAGATCACTAGTAGTCAGTATTGGTCTGTTGGTAATCACGCCTATAGGCCTTTAGAATACATGCACATCGAACTGAATCCATAGCTTATTTTCTTAACCACCGTATTAAACTGTCTTGTAACATCTGTTGTAAGCACTAATAATTCCCAAAGCACAGGGACTCAGAAAAGTGACAGTAGTTATTCTTTTGGAAATAAATCAAGTGTATAGTTTTTCTATACACATTGTTTTACTCAAAGAACTTATGTTCATCATAGCTTTGGTTGAACTCACCATTAAAAATGCAGAAGATTTGTCCATTGAAAATATATATATATCAGAAAAATAAAAACATTTAAAATACAGTCTAAATATTTAAGTTAAAATACGAACAAAATTTAATTCAAATGCATATAAACCCTATGATAATATTGCTATATAAGCCCTATGATAATATTGCTCATTATTACATGGATTTGTGTCTAGAGTAGAGATAACCAAAATATGGCTGCCTATGAGCAGTTGTGTGCCAGTAAATGTATAACAAACAGCTCTCAAGGAAAAGGCTGGGTTTAGTGGCTCATACCTGTAATCCCAGCACTTTGGAAGGCCAAGGCAGGCAGATCACAAGGTCAAGAGATCGAGACCATCCTGGCCAACATGGTGAAACCCCATCTCCACTAAAAATACAAAAATTAGCTGGGCGTGGTGGCGTGTCTGTAGTCCCAGCTACTCCGGAGGCTGAGGCAGGATAATTGCTCGAACCTGGGAGGCAGAGGTTGCACTGCACTCCAGCCTGGTGACAGAGCAAGAGACTCCATCAAAAAAAAAAGGCTAAATTTGTAGTGTTTGCCCATTTCTGTAGTGTAAATACTCCCATCGTGACCAATTTCAAGTTGCCAATGTGACATCAACCAGCTAGAAAAATTCCTGGAAATTTATGGCTCCTCTAAGCTGGCTCCAGAACACCACTTAAGTATGAGGCAAACTAAATGTAAGAAATTACAAAGGATTTCCACCTTAAGCATCACAAAGTATCACACTGAATGTATGTATATTTTTGTTCCTTTGTAAACTTTATATATTAATAATAGGTAATTATTTTCATGGTATAATTTCAAAAGTTAGAAAATGGTATATGGTGGAGACTCACCCACCCATCTCTTTCCATGAACCACCACACTCTTTTTGGAAGCAGCCCATTTTAACTCATTTCTTATATATCCTTCCAGGAATATTCTTTAAGACATTACATACATATTCTTTCTTTTTACTATCTTAAAAAACAAAAATGATAGTATACTATACTTTGTTTCACATCTTGCTCATTTGTCATTTAACAATATAACTTGGAGATTGTTCCATTTCAGTATAGAAAAACAAGCCTCTTATTAATTGTGCCATTGCCATTATAATGTTGCAATGAATATTCTTGATCATATATCATTTCACAATTGTGAATATATATGTGGAATAAATTCCTAGGAATGAAAATGCTGAGTCAAATACTGCTTCAGGAAGAGGCAGTAGACACAGTTGGTAGTTTATCAGTGAAAAAAATTAAAGATTCTAATCCTATCTTCAGTTATTACTGACATAATTATGTAATAATGCCATATTACCTGCAAACCAAGCTCTGCTTGCTGAAGCTGTCACAACTGGACTATTTGGGAAGGATGGAGTCAATGCAGGTTGGAGACTTAAAAGATCACAATAAATATGAGGCACACTGGAGAACAAATAGAATTACATATATTCTACCTAGCTAAACTTACATTTCTTTGATTTATCCATCTATCCATCCATCCATCTCTCCAACTATATACTAACAATATGTCTATCTGTGATAAAGATAATTAAGAAATAGTCAATGGGCTTGTGGTCTAAGAGAAGGTGATAATATAAATAGATTACAATCAATACAACCTTAAAAAGTCTAATGAATTAATATTACATGACCTTTGTAGTGATTGTGGACAATATAGAAAAATACAAACAAGAAAACTGAAATCAGCCATAATTGTTACACTCACAAATAGCTAAGCCTGGGTGCAGTGGTTCACGCCTGCAATCCCAGCACTTTGTGAGGCTGAGGGCAGCGGATCACCTGAGATCAGGAGTTTGAGACCAGCCTGACCAACATGGTGAAACCCCGTCTCTACTAAAAATACAAAAATTAGCAGGGTGTGGTGGCGTGTGCCTGTAATTCCAGCTACTGGGGAGGCTGAGGCAGGAGAATCACTTGAACCCAGGTGGTGGAGATTGCAGTGAGCCGAGATCACGCCACTCCACTACAGCCTGGGCGACAGAGTGAGACTCTGTCTAAAAAAAAAAGAAAGAAAAAGAAAAAAGAAATAGCTAATGTGAACAGTTTGGGGTGACATACTTCAAATTTTGTATTATTCAGTTTATATGTATATGCACATATAGCAGAGTACATGTATGTGTATGTGTAGATAGATGCGTGTATCTATACACATGTCTTGAATGTTACTATGTGTTCTATTTAATGAATGAGCACTTTGACATGTCATTAAATAATTTTCTACAATAATAGTTATTCTCACTAGAGGAGCCCCTAGGGGAAGGAATCAAATTCTTTTTTTTTTTTTTTTTTTTTTGAGACAGAGTCTCGCTCTGCCGCCCAGGCTAGAGTGCAGTGGCGTGATCTTGGCTCACTGCAAGCTCCGCCTCCCGGGTTCACGCCATTCTCCTGCCTCAGCCTCCCGAGTAGCTGGGACTACAGGCGCCCGCCACCTCGCCCGGCTAGTTTTTTTGTATTTTTTAGTAGAGACGGGGTTTCACCGTGTCAGCCAGGATGGTCTCGATCTCCTGACCTCGTGATCCGCCCATCTCGGCCTCCCAAAGTGCTGGGATTACAGGCTTGAGCCACCGCGCCCGGCCAGGAATCAAATTCTTGAATATTCCCATCCCAATCTCTGACTTTGCAAATCATTCAGTGTAATAAAAGATGTTCCTTTGTGAAGCATATCATCCTGTGAAGAATGTGGAATCCCACGAAAGACTGAAAACTTCGGTCCCATATCATCATTTAAAATAGCTGAATAGTATTCCATCATATTCATAGCCCATAATTTATTTAGTTGATCACATATTATTTAAGATGCAGAAAATTATCTAGAGGGAAACAAACAAAATTAACCTACATTAAGACATTATTAACTTACCAGTAAGGAGGTAAAGTGTCATTTTTCTCTTCCAAAGAAGCTAAATGTTGTTTTAGTACTTCAAGTAAACCGTGGGGTACCTAAAAAAGTTATTATGAGCAAAAATTAATGTGCCTCATTAAAGCTAAAATTGCTACATGTAAATTCATTATTAAAAGTAGCATCTTGGTATCAAATCAGATTTTCAAACTATGATCTAAAACACATTGTTAGGCTAGGTGCAGTGGTTCACACTTGTAATCCCAACACTTTGGGAGGCCAAGGCAGGAGGATTGTTTGAGTCCAGGAGTTTGAGACTAGTCTGGGCAACAGTGAGACCTCATCTCTACAAAAAATAGAAAAATTATCCGGGCATGATGACGCACACCTGTAGTCCCAACTACTTGGAAGGCTGAGGTGGGAGAATCACCTAAGTCCGCAGAAGTCAAGGTTGCAGTGAGCTGTGATTGATCCACTGCACTGTAGCCTGGGCCACTGAGTGAAACCCTCTCTCAAAAAAATAAAATACGTTTTTAAAAACAAAAAAAAAAAGTTTCTTAAAATGATCAAAAAACTGCTAAAATATTTATCTCCTCAGAAGGTATTGGGCTTCCAACGATCTCATTAACAATAAGCTTTATTTTCACCAAGGCACTAATTTTCATTAACATTACGGATTTCATTCCTGTATATGTTTATGTCTGTTTCCCTGCAATAGACTACAAGCTCCATGAAGACAGGGATTTTGTCTGTTTTGTCCACTGATGAATCTTAAGTGCCTGGCACATAGTAAGTGCTTAATTAATATTTGCTGAATGAATGTGGATGTATATTTTTATTCTGTTTCCATTAAAAATAGACTAGAGGACTAGATTGCAGCTCCCAGGTGGACAGACAGAGCAGTGTGAGACTCTGCATTGTGAACTTTTGCTCCAGAACTACTGAAGGAATCAATTAGGAAAGCCGAGAGAACCCGCAGACCCTCTGAAGGAAGTGGATTGCTCCTGCAGGACCCAGGAGACACCCTGAATACTGTGACTGCCCAAGCTGAACACACACCCTCACTGGGGAACCTGAAGGTCTAGATCACAGGAGAAGATTCTGACTTTACTGGAAGCTGAGTCAATTTAGAGAGCTGAACAAAATACAGGGGTAGAGGAAACAGCAGAAAAAACCCTACGAGCTCACTGGGTTCCCTGGGAAACCATTTCTGCTTTGTCTCATATGGATCCTTGGGGAGGACTAGCAGAGGTACTGGGAAAAGGAAACCTCCAGCTGAACTTTGTAAAAATTCCAACTGATCGTGAAGTCTCCTGGCCAGAACTCAGGGGAGGGCATAAATCCAGTGTACACACTCCACAGGCGGGGAGGCACAAAAGCCATCCTTGCTGTCGTAGCTGGGAGGCTGGTAGCCTGGGGCAAGTTCTCAGCCCTGCTCGCCCACTCCCTGGAAACAGACTTGGTGCCTTTGGTGGGGGCACAGTGGGAGTTAGATGGGCGTTTGGGGTTGTTTGGGAGCTGGGTAAGGTCTGCGACTGCCAGCTCTCCCCCACTTCCCTGACAACCTACATGACACAGCAGAGGCAGCCATAACCCTCCTGGGAAGATAACTCCATTGACCTGAGAACCACACCCCCATCCCCCACATAGCCGCAGCAAGACTCGCCCAAGGAGAGTCTGAGCTTAGACACACCTAATCCTGCCCCCAACTGATAGTCCTTCCCTACCCACCCTGGTAGCTGAAGACAAAGATCATATTCTCTTGGGAGTCCTAGGTCCTCGCCCACCACCTATTCCTCCCTATACTACCACAGCTGATGCACTCTTAAAAGCACCACTTCCTGGCAGAAGGCCAACCAGCACAAAAACAGTGCATGAAACAACCAAAACTAAGGACCCCCACAGAGTCCATTTTTCCCCGCTGCCACCTCCACTGGAGCAGGCGCTGGTATCCACAGCTGAGAGACCTGCAGACAGTTCACATCACAGGACTCTGTGCAGACAACCCCCAGTACCAGCCCAGAGTCTGGTAGACATGCTGGGTGGCTAGATCCAGAAGAGAGAACAATCACTATAGCCTGGCTCTCAGGAAGCCACATCCCTAAGAAAAGAGGGGGAGTACTAACTACATCAAGGGAACACCCCGTGGGACAAAAGAATCTTAACAGTAGCCTTGAGCCCCTCTGACATAGCCTACCCAAATGAGAAGAAACCAGAAAAACAATTCTGGTAATATGACAAAACAAGGTCCTTCAACACCCCCTAAAAAAATCACACTAGTTCACCAGCAATGGATCCAAACCAAGAAGAAATCCCTGATTTACTTGAAAAAGAATTCAGAAGGTCAGTTATTAAGCTAATTAGGGAGGCACCAGAGAAAGGTGAAGTCCAATTTAAGGAAATCAAAAAATGCTACAAGAAATGAGGGGAGAAATCTTCAGTGAAATAGATAGCATAAATAAAAAATAATCAAAACTTCAGGAAATAATGAATGCACTTAGAGAAATGCAAAATGCTCTGGAAAGTCTCAGCAACAGAATTGAATAAGCAGAAGAAAGAACTTCAGAGCTCAAAGACAAGGTTTTCAAATTAACCCAGTCCAACAAAGACAAAGAAAAAAAGAATAAGAAAATATGAACAAAGCCTCCAAGAAGTCTGGGATTATGTTAAATAACCAAACCTAAGAATAATTGGCATTCATGAGGAAGAAGAGAAATCTAAAAGTTTGGAAAATGTATTTGGGGGGTCTCTAGCAAGGTCAGAGACCTTGCTAGAGACCTAGACATCCAAATACAAAAAGCTCAAAGAACACCTGGGAAATTCATCACAAAAAGATAATCGCCTAGGCACATTATCATCAGGTTATCTAAAGTTAAGATGAAGGAAACAATCTTAAGAGCTGTGAGGCAAAAGCACCAGGTAACATAGAAAGGAAAACTTGTCAGATCAACAGCAGATTTCTTGGCAGAAACCCTACAAGCTAAAAGGGATTGGGGCCCTATATTCAGTCTCCTTAAACAAAACAATTATCAACCAAGAATTTTGTATCCAGTGAAACTAAGCTTCATAAATGAAGGAAAAATACAGTTATTTTCAGACAAACAAATGCTGAGAGAATTTGCCACTACTAAGCCAGCACTACAAGAACTGCTAAAAGGAGCTCTAAATCTTGAAACGAATCCTGGGAACACCTCAAAACAGAACTTCTTTAAAGCATAAATCCCACAGGACCTATAAAACAAAAATGCAATTTAAAAAAACATATACACACAACAAATAGCACGATGAGTAGAATAGTACCTTGCATCTCAATACTAACGTTAAATGTAAATGGCCTAAATGTTCCACTTAAAAGATACAGAATTGCAGAGTGAATAAGAATTCACCAACCACCTATCTGCTGCCTTCAAGAGACCCACCTAACACGTAAGGACTCACATAAACTTAAGGTAAAGGGGTGGAAAAAGACATTCCATGCAAATGGACACCAAAAGCAAGCAGGAGTAGCTATTCTTATAAAAAACAAAACAAACTTTAAAGCAAGAGCAGTTAAAAAAGACAAAGAGGGACATTATATAATGATAAAAGGACTAGTTCAACAGGAAAATATCACAATCCTACATATATATGCACCTGACACTGGAGCTCCCAAATTTAGAAAACAATTACCACTAAACCTAAGAAATGAGATAGGTAGCAACACAATAATAGTGGGGGACTTCAATATTCCACTAACAGCACTAGACAGGTCATCAAGACAGAAAGTCAACAAAGAAACAAGAGGTTTAAACTATACCCTGGAACAAACGGACTTAACAGATATTTACAGAACATTCTACCCAACAACTGCAGAATATACATTCTATTCATCAGCTCATGGAACTTTCTCCAAGATAGACCATATGATATGCCACAAAACAAGTCTCAATAAATTTAAGAAAATTGAAATTAGATCAAGTAGTCTCTCAGGCCACAGTGTAATAAAGCTGGAAATCAACTCCAAAAATGAACCTTCAAAATCATGCAAATACGTGAAAATTAAATAACCTGTTCCTGAATGATCATTGAGTCAACAACGAAATCAAGATTGAAATTTAAAAATTCTTTGAACTGAAAGACAATAGTGACACAACCTATCCAAACCTCTGGGATACAGCAAATGCAGTGCTAAGAGGAAAGTTCATAGACCTAAATGCCTGCATCAAAAAGCCCGAAAGAGCACAAATAGACAATCTAAGGTCACACCTTAAGGAACTAGAGAAACAAGAACAATCCAAACCCAACTCCAGCAGCAGAAAGGAAATAACCAAGATCAGAGCAGAACTAAATGAAATTGACACCAAAAAAATGCAAAAGATAAATGAAACAAAAAGCCTGTTCTGGAAAAGATAAATAAAATTGATAGACCATTAGCAAGACTAACCAAGAAAACAAGAAAGAAAATCCAAATAAGCTCAATTAGAAACAAAATGGGAGACATTACAACTGACACCACAGAAATACAAAAGATAATTCAAGGCTACTATGAACACCTTTACACTTATAAACTAGAAAACATAGAGAAGATGGATAAATTCCTGGAAAGATACAACCCTCCTTGCTTAAATCAGGAAGAATTAGATACCCTGAACAGACCAATAACAAGCAGCAAGATTGAAATGGTAATTTTAAAAAATTACCAACAAAAAAAGTCCAGGACCAGATGAATTCACAGCTGAATTCTACTAGACACTCAAAAAAGAATTGGTACCAATGCTATTGACACTATTCCACAAGATAGAGAAAGAGGGAATCCTCCCTAAATCATTCTATGAAGCCAGTATCACCTTAATACCAAAACCAAGAAAGGACATAACCAAAAAAGAAAACTACACACCAATATCCTTGATGAACATAGATGCAAAAATCATTAGCAAAATACTAGCCAACTGAATCCAACAACATATCAAAAAGATAATCTACCATGATCAAGTGGGTTTCATACCAGGGATGCAGGGATGGTTTAACATATGCAAGTCAATAAATGTGATACAGCACATAAACAGAATTAAAAACAAAAATCATATGATCATCTCAATAGATGCAGAAAAAGCATTTGACAAAATCCAGCATCACTTTATGATAAAAACCCTCAGCAAAATCGGCAAACAAGGGACACACCTCAATGTAATAAAAGCCATCTATGACAAACCCACAGCCAACATAGTACTGAATGGGGAAAAGCTGAAAGCACTCCCTCTGAGAACCAGAACAAGACAAGGATGCCCACTCTCACCACTTCTATTCAACATAGTACTGGAAGTTCTAGCCAGAGCAATCAGACAAGAGAAAAAAATAAAGAGCATCCAAATTGGTAAAGAGGAAGTCGAACTGTTGCTATCTGCTAATGATATGTTGGTATAATGAGAAAACCCTAAAACTCCTCCAAAAAGCTCCTAGAACTGATAAAAGAATTCAGCAAAGTTTCAGGATACAAAATTAATGTACACAAATCAGTAGCTCCCCCATACACCAACAGTGACCAAGCTGAGAATCAAATCAAGAACTCAACTCCTTTTATAATAGCTGCAAAAATATAAAATACTTAGGAATATACCTAATCAAGCAGGTGAAAGACCTCTACAAGGAAAACTACAAAACACTCCTGAAAGAAATCACAGATGACACAAACAAATGGAAACACATCTCATGCTCATGGACGGGTATAATCAATATTGTGAAAATGACCATACTGCCAAAAGCAATCTACAAGTTCAATACAATTCCCATCAAAATGCTACCATCATTCTTCACAGAACTAGAAAAAAAAAATCCTAATATTCATATGGAACCAAAAAAGAGCCTGCATAGCCAAAACAAGACCAAGCAAAAAGAACAAATCTGGAGGCATCACATTACCTGACTTCAAACTATACTATAAGGCCATAGTCACCAAAACAGTATGGTACCGGTATAAAAATACACGCATAGACCAATGGAACAGAATAGAGAACCCAGAAACAAAGCCAAATGCTTACAGTCAACTGATCTTTGACAAAGCAAACAAAAGCATAAAGTGGGGAAAGGACACCCTTTTCAAAAAATGGTGCTGGGATAACTGGCTAGCCACATGTAGGAGAATGAAACCGGATGCTCCTCTCTCACCTTATATAAAAATCAATGCAAGATGGATCAAAGACTTACACCTAGGACCTGAGTCTATAAAAATTCTAGAAGATAACGTCAGAAAAACCCTTCTAGACATCGGCTTAAGCAAGGATTTCATGACCAAGAACCCAAAAGCAAATGCAATAAAAACAAAGATAAATATCTGGGACTTAATCAAATGAAAGAGCTTTCGAACGGTAACGGTAAAAGGAACAGTCAGCAGAGTAAACAGACAACCCACAGAGTGGGAGAAAATCTTCACAATCTATACATCTGACAAAGGACTAATATCCAGAATCTGCAATGAACTCAAACGAATTATCAAGAAAAAAAAAAAAAAACAATCCCATCAAAAAGTTGTCTAGGGACATGAATAAACAATTCTCAAAAGAAGATATACAAATGGACAACAAACATATGGAAAAATGCTCAACATCACTAATTATCAGGGAAATGTCCATCAAAACCATAATGAAATACCACCTTACTCGTGTAAGAATGGCCATAATAAAAAAATAATAGATGTTGGCATGGATGCGGTGAAAAGGGAACACTTCTACACTGCTGGTGGGAATGTAAACTAGTACAACCACTATGGAAAACAGTGTGGAGATTCCTTAATGAACTAAAAGAACTATCATCTGATCCAGCAATCCCACTACGGGGCATCTACCCAGAGGAAAAGAAGTCATTATACGAAAAAGATACTTGCTCATGCATGTTAATAGCAGCACAATTCGCAACTGCAAAAATGTGGATCCAACCCAAATGCCCATCAATCAACAAGCGGATAAAGAAACTGTGGTATAGATATACGATGGAATACTACTCAGCCATAAAAAGGAATAAATTAACAGCATTTGCAGTGACCTGGATGGGATTGGAGACCATTATTCTAAGTGAAGCAACTCAGGAATGTAAAACCAAACATCGTATGTTCTCACTAACAAGTGGAGTTAAGCTATCAGGATGCAAAGGCATAAAAATGATACAGTGGACTTTGGGGATTTGAGAGAAAGGGTGGGAAGGAGGTGAGGGATAAAAGACTACAAACTGGGTTCAGTGTATACTGCTTGGGAGAGAGGTGCACTAAAATCTCACAAATCACGACTAAAGAACTTACTCATGTAACCAAATACCACCTCTTCCCCAAAAACCTATGAGGAAAAAAAATTTTTTTAATAGAAACAGTAGACTCCCTCTTATATAAGACCAATTCCTCACCAGGATTCTATATTCCACCAACTTCTGTGAACCATTCACTGATTTTTTGTTCAAGAAATATTTATGATAATTTACCATAAGAAATTGGGATATAACCATAAGCACAAACAACTTGATCCCAAGCTTCATAAGATTACAGTCTACAGATAAGGAGAAGATATATCAAACAATCACACAAATAAATGTAAAGTCATTTTAAGTTATAAACGGTAGCATGAAAGAGAGGTACACAATACTCAGTGTTGAAGCAGGGGAATCTAACCAAGTCAGGGAAGTCCGGGAAGCAAGCCCTCCTGAAGAAAGTAATAGTTTGTGCTGTGTATACTTATCCTTATGAAGGATAGTTCAGGAATAAGTAGTAGGTCAGTATGGAAAGAAAGAGCATTGTAGACAGAGGAATAACATGTGCAAAGGCCCTGGGGAAGGCATATGGCACAGATGAACCCTGTTGCTAGAGCAGAAAGAGCAGAGGGGAGAGTAAGGGAGATGAAGCTGGAGAGTAGGCAAGGATTCAACAATGCAGGAGCTTAAATTAAAAGCAATGGTGAGGAGCTTGCACTTTGTCCTAAGAATCCTGGGAGACCTTCGAGGGCTTTTAAGTGAGAAGTGAAATGACTAGATCTCTATTTTGGATGTTATCAGATCTGCATTCTGGATGCACTGCGTAAAACAAACAGCAGGGGGCAGAGTATATGGAGACAGACTGGTTGGAAGGTGAGAGAGGATGGAAGTTGAAGCTAAAATGCAGAAAAGAGGAGGCATTGCAGACAAAGTCGTTAGGATTCAGTGTTGGATTGTAAGGGGAGTTGAGGGAGAGAGTATCAAGGATGAGAAGGGTACACAGAATGAGAAGCAGATCTGGGGGGAAGATGGGTGATATAAACTGCTGAGCTAGCAGTGGGAGAAGCGTTTAATGAACTACTTACAGAGGTGTGGACAGAGCTAAGGAACAATTCTGAGAGAATAAATAACAAAAGGTGTCAGTATTTGAATAATGTTGGAAACATTTTATTCCGTCTGATTTGCTTTGGGACAATTCACTGCCAGCTATAAATTTGTGGAAACACTGCCCCACAATCTTAGCAGACAAGATTGGCAGAAAATCGCTTAGAAACACTGAAAACATGTGACAAAGGGCTTTCCGTGAAAAGGGTGGATGTAAAGCAGTAAGGACCCCCTTCGTGAAGCACGCAGTCACCCTCCAGCCACCAGAACCACAGGAACGAGGTGGTAACTGAGGGAAAACACATCTAGGCACACGTCACGGTGGCACCTTCCAGCAGGTCCCCAGGGTTGTGCCCCTGGAGCTCTGACAAAGAGTGTGGCCCAGAAATGTCATGTTTGGACTGCGAGTTTTGGTGAAAAATAACAATGCATCAGGTTGCAGACAAAGCAGACCCTGCTATGTGCGTTTATGGGAGCCACGCCCAACAGGAACCACAGGGAATGATCCAGAGGAGAGCGATGGACAGACACAAAGAGACACACCAGAGAGAGGCTCTCAGGAGGAGGCTCTGTGGCCTCCAGACCATGTCAAAGCCAAGGCAGAAAGGATGAACTGAGGAAAGGAGGAAAATTTCCTCTTAAGGAAGGTAAAATCCAGAAGGGATCCCTAAAATGGTGAGCAGTTTAAACCTAGCAGTTTTGCATTAATTCACATAAAGTGTAATGAAAACTGTTAAGACACACAAGGAGAGACTGGCCAATCTACAGTCACAGAGGAAGACCCTTCACACCCCTTCACAGGATCTCGCAGCAGATTGGCTGAAAAGTATCCTTGAAACTGCAAACCTCTCTCAAGGAGACCCACTGAGTTGGGCAAAGGTGGGGCTGACTTAATTCTCGCCTCCCTGCTCTCCCACGTAGCCCTGCATTTCACTCCATTCCAGGGTTTCTGGGACACCCGAGAAAGCGTGTAGTCCAGGGAGCACGTCTGCCAACTGAAGGCCTTGACAAATGACTTTCTGTACTGGCTGAAGGCCAGGGCCCAGCGTACTGATAAGGAAGCTCTTCCAGAAAAAGAGTTGATTTACAGAGGAGTGAATCTGCATGAAAGTTTACCAACAAGATCCCTGCCTGCCTTTTGCAGGCTCTCCTGCAGCCATCTACTTCATTTTTGATCTCAGGGAGACCAGAGCTGAGGTAAGGAGGAGGGTGGACTGGTGGGAAATGTGGCCCTCCACTCAGGTACTCCTCCTGGCAAATGTCCCTTACAGCGCAAGCCACAGGTGCTGGTCAATTAATGCTCATCTGTATCCTGACAAAGGCTGAGACTGTGGTTCCTAGCAAAGGTCCCCTCGCTGCCCCCACCACTTCCCTTAGGGAAGAAATGTCAATGTAGAAAAAAATCAGAGGGCTACATATAATGTAGATATCTAGTGATTCTTCATGTGTAATTTTTGTTCAGTCTTTTTCGGGAACTCAGGGGCCGGAATTGTGTCTCATTCATTATAACTGAAAAGGAGTCAAGCATGTTTATGAATGCATGTTGATTGAAATCAACTGGTTATGTCGCCATGAGGCAATGAAACTCTACTCACCTACTAACCCAGATATTCTCATTGTCTCTCTCTCTTCCCACCACTGGTCATCTGAAACTTCTCATTCAGGAAGCCATGCATTATTTCACCCAACAGTGGTTCCCATTGTGGACCACTTTGTGGGATTTCAGGGCTACGTGCAAGCTGCCTTTGTACTTGTCTGCACATAAAGGAATATTTGTGCTGTGTATACTTGAGAGAACACATTCCTTTCCTTCAAAGACTTATAAGCCATCAGCCAAAACCTCCCTCTTTCTCTGCCACTAAACTTAACATTTTATTTGCATCTGCAACCATCCTCTCTCCCCTACATCTTCATCTTCTCTCTCTTCACAGGCTTCTTCACATACACATGACTGCCACATGAACCAGACTGTCTGAGCATTCCACATGTGTTATCTGAGATAATCCTTCATTCTTGTAGTCCCAACCAAGACAGGTCTGCCACACCAGTCCCTGATATATAGGATGGGGACAGCTGGGGGATGGCTGTGAAAGTCCTGAGTCTCCAGATTTTCCAGAAACCTCTGAGCCTCCTTTGTTGCAGATGATACAGAGGCCTCTACTCCACAAGTTACAAGCCCCATCAGGATCTGCTCCCACCTCCATTCCTGTCCTCTAGGCCTATGACTATAGTTAAGTCACAGCAAAACTCAGCTAGGGGCATGCCTCTGATATAGCCCCCAATCACCCTCCAAGCAAAATAGTAGACTCAAAAACAAAACAAAACAAAAAAAAAACAAACAACAACAACAACAACAACAAAAACCACAGGACTACCTCCCAAGAGGATGGCAGAAATTAGCACAAATCTAAATAGTAGAAAGGATTATATTAGTGGTGATAGTCCCCATTCCCCATCAAAACCAGTTGGGTTCTGGAGATTAACAATTACAGCAAAATCAATCAAGTAGTAGCCCAATTGTAGCCACTATGCCAGCCATGATAGTTTCTTTGGTAGAGGTAGAGTTAATGCAGCTTTAGGTACATGGTATGTGGCTGCTGGTTTGGTGACTGTATTGCTTTCTATCACCATCAGAAGTGTGACTCAGAAAGAATACACAGGCACATGGAATGAACAGCACTTTATATTTTCAGTTTTGTACCCATAGCTGTGTTAACTCTCTCATCTTCTGTCATAATAAAGTTAGAAGTCTAGACCATCTGGTCACTCCTCAGAACATGAAATTGATCCACCGTATCCATGATGTCACGCTCACAGGATCAGATGAGCAGGCAGTAGGCAATATAGTGAAAGATACATGCAGTCTACATTCTTTTCACACTGATAAAATTTGGGGGGTTCCAGTGGTCAGAGGCATACCAGGACATCACATCCAAAATAAAAGATAAAGTATTGTATCTTGTACCTCCCACAACAAAAAAGGATACATGATACCTCGTAGGCTTCTTTGGGCTCTGGAGACAGCATATTCCCAAAGGAGGGAAAACAGCTCTCACCCATACCCCAGGTGGCCTAAATTTTAGACCTGCCACCTAAATTTGGGGGCCCAGAGCAGGAAAGCGCTCTGTAGTAGGTCCAGGCTGGGTCAGAAGCCCTGCTGCTCAGGCCCCATGGTACGTCTGGGTTGGAGCACAGGCAGGTCCAGAGGGCTAAGTAGGATGCACAAGCAGGTTGCCTGAGGCCCATCTTGTCCACACCTCCAGCACTGCCACTTCTACCTCAGGTCACACCTGTGCCCCTGAGGGGATCCCTGAGAACTAGTTGCTGAGGAAGAAAAAAGCCTGAGCTCATTTGATTCTTACAACACTACTATGAGCCAGGTGGTGCATCACACCCATTTTGCAGTTGCAGAAATGAGGAACAGAGAATGGAAATGAGTTGCTTGAGACCATATACCTGAAAGGTGGACAAGGCAGCCATCAAACCTAAGTTCATTATTCCAAATACCCTGCTGTTTCTACTGATAATATTACAAGCATGGTCTAGTAGTTATACACACACACACACACACACACACAATAAGCACACATATATATGTTACTTATGGAGAAATGAAAATGCACACACATAAGTATATCGCAAAGGATGGAGAGTCTCAGATGATGATTAATATAATAAACACATAAACAAAGACAAAAACATCACTTAAATACATAGGAGAGATACACTGACCTGAGTAATACATGGAATGTTGCTCTGGTCAATTCCAACTTGCTGAAATAAAAAATGTGGGTGAAAGTACACATTACAGCAGAGAGTGGCAACAACAAAAATGTAACTGAGAGACCATTGTGTGCATGAAAGAGAAAATACCCCAAGAGTATGATGTCTTCCTGGGCTGGTACTTTGCCAGGCTAAAGTATGCCTTGCACACTTAAGTACACCCTTATATTTGTCCTAAGGATAGACTTTGTTATTATTATTTTATTATTATTATTATACTTTAAGCTCTGGGATACATGTGCAGAAAGTGCAGGTTTGTTACATAGGTATACACGTGCCATGGTGGTTTGTTGTACCCATCAACCCGTCATCTACATTAGGTATTTCTCCTAATGCTGTCCCTCCCCTAACCCCTCACACCCTGACAGGCCCCAGCATGTGATGTCCCCCTCCCTGTGTCCATGTGTTCTCATTGTTCAACTCCCACTTATGAGTGAGAATATGCGGTGTTTGGTTTTCTCTTCTTGTGTTAGTTTGCTGAGAATGATGGTTTCCAGCTTACTGAGTTTTTGCTGATTTGAGAAGAGCTAAGCTGTATTTTGGATATCATACAAATGTGTTCTGATTTTTCAAGTAGTCAGAAGTCAGCCGTTATTCATATTGTCATTCTCCCATGGATAATATGTCTTTGTTCTCTTTGGTTTTCAGAAGCTTGACTATCACTCGCCTCCGTGTGGTTCTCCTTGTATTTATCCTGCTTGGGTTCCTCTGAGTGTCAGAGAGAACATAGGGCTCACCTCAAGTGTTTCTCTCACTGACCACAAACCTACCTATTGTTCACTACCTAAAAAGACTTATGTCATATATATTTTGGTCTACTTTTAGAGTTGTTTCTGGTGGGAGGGTAAGCTTGGTACTGGTTATCTTTATGGCTGCAAACAGAAGTCCTTGTAAGATTGCTTTTGAGTGCAAGTCCATTGGATAATACATTTGAAGTACCTAACTTTAGCTTTAGTTTTACTGTTTACAAAGTAGTTAAAACAACTACCAATTACTGTGTGTTTGTGTGGTTATGGTGGTGGAGGGAAGAGGTATAGTTTCAACTGATACTAAATTATTGCAAAAAAAGAAACACCGTAAGTAGAAATGGATTTCTGTACCTCTGCAACTTTCAGAAACTGTGTCAATTTGGTTGTTCCTCCAAGGAACTTGATGTAAATATCCAAACTTTCCCTGCATTGGTTCTTCCTCATGTCAAAATATTTGTCTAAAAATAAAAAAAAATTACCATAAAGGAGCCAATATCTTAGCAATTTTCAAGTTTTACTCCATTCTGATTATTCTATTTTAAGCTAATTCTGGATATGAATTTAACCTGTTCAAAACAATTATAATTTTAATCAAGTTATTTTCTGTTTTAATAACAAAGAAATAGCACTGCTCAATCCCCATAATCAACAAATTTTTATGGAGTAACTACCGTATACCAAATACTGGTGCTGGGTATGTGGAATTTAATAGCATGCACAGATAGTTTAGATTTTAATTTCAACGACTTCTAGTCTATAGTCTTTTTGATTAATACAAAGCTCTGCAACCCTCTGAGGGAAAGGGCTGTGTTTCCTACTCTAACTCTACAAATGTATAATACTATGTATTTCTTCAGTATAAGAAAAGTTATCAAATTCCCGTCAATAAAGTTTAGAGAATAATTGCAGCTAAATGAATCATTCATCAATGATGACAGCAATTTCCTGAAAAGTCTAAAAATATATGCTTGTATATCATCAATAACAATTACTTATGTTATAGGCTTTACCTTCTTAGGAAAGTCAAAACTGTGTTATTTGACCTTGGTGGAAATGGACCTTATTAACATATAATGAATAAACATGACAACCTAGGTTGATTCCCTGACAAATTTCCCAGAAATATCAGTTAGCACTTACATAAAAGTGGAAAAGTTTTGTGGCTAACTAGCCAAATAATGTTTAATCAATGAAGCAATATGATATCTGTATTTAAAAGTATACATGACCCTGCAAAGATTTTCTATTTTGTATCTAAAGCAAATGTGAGTCTAAATGTAGAGATAAGGGATTTTTACAAATAAATTATTTTACCATCTTACGCTTTAAAAATTAATCATTTAAAAAGTTTATTCTTTATCCTACCTAGCAGATTAAGGATCCCTTCATTATAAGCTGCAAAGAGACGAAGAGAATCTTTAAAGAGGAGCATAAAAGCAGCATGTATTATACCATTAGTGAGTTCATCAGGATTTGCCTGAAAATTAAATAAAAAGAGTAACCAATTAACACCACAGCTAGAAAATTATTTCTCCCACCTGGAGTTACAGGATGCTATTTACTATATTTTTAAACAAAATTTATAAAGCTCTTACGTTAAAACTAAGAAGAGCATTAAACTGGGTTTGAATAACTGGAAGTGTGTTTAGCAGTTCTTCAGTATTCATAGTTCTTATCACACCATCTGTCCTATAAAAGATAAAAGAAAATCATGAACCTCAATAACTAAGAGTTTGAGGAGCACTGTGACATCAGCATCTTGAAATAGGGCTGTTTTTGACAAACTACAAAGCAGACCACATGTAAGTCCAGTACTTCTTGCTTACAAACTAATGATATTTACTGACCCTCTCTTGGTTTTTGTGATGTCAGATGAGATCATTCTATATGCAAGTGACTTTTCATTCAAGTACCTGCTGTATCGTCTGATGAAGGTTGACATAGTATAGCCTAAAAATGAGATATTTTTATTATTTCCAATTAAACCAACAGTAGCTTTTTACAATACGTCAATAAATGCAAAGACTTATTCCATATTCACCTGTATACCTCAATAATATCTTTGAAGCACAAAAGCTAGAATGGCCTTTATTAATCACCTATTCCAACATTCTTCAAGCTTTCTGTTAAAGTTTAATTTTTATTTCCTTAGAGCCTAGATATCATCCCTTAATGGGGTATTGATGGTGATATTCCTGAACAGATGAAATAATTGAACTGTATCAGCTCCTTTGACATTTTCACAGAAACTATTATAAATTGTTAGCATTTTCCTTACTCTCCTCATCCCACTGCCACCATCCCACCTCCTCTCTCCCTCCACTCAGCAAATGACCTGCCGCCTACTTCATAGAGAAAAAGGAGAAGAAGGCCATGGTAGAAACTCAACTAATCTCTACTCAACCTCCAAATGTATGCTGATTCCCCTTCAATTTATTCATTCATTAAACAATCACTGAGTGCCTACTATAAGCCAGGCGATGTACTAAGTGCGGGAAGTTCAGCAGTGAAAAACAACAGACAAATATTCCTGCCCTCATAGGGCTTACATTTCAATGGGAAATGACAGACAATTACGTTAAAAAAAAAAAAAAAAAAAAAAAGGGGAACACAGAGACAGTCAGTGAGAAGGGGAAATAATAAACCCAGTCAGAGAACTGGTGTAAAGGTGCTGCAATTTTTGGTAGGCTGGACAAGGCTTCGCTGAGTAAAGACCTGTAGCTCTCATTAACTTTTCTGTCTCTAGCACATGACATATTCTGTTATTCTTAGTAAGCTCCAAAATATATGTTGTATCAATGAATTTGGGGATTATTTACATTCTTAAAATGTATAACACATCGCAGCCTTCAAAATTTAGAACCTTTTTTAAACTAGGCATGATTTTCAGAATTTTTCCCTCCTTGGCATACGGAAATATTTCCATCAAAGAATCATCTTACCTTCTATGACACTTTTATCCAGGAAATTGTGTAAAGTGAACAAAGAGTTCCGACATGAAACATGTTTAATGAAACGCTGTCAAACAAATGTGTCAAATTCTAAAATTAGTTTCTGTACACACAAAAAGTTCATTAATGATTGTCATTATGAACGTATACTTAATTCTATCACACACCTTGTATCTATTTCAGGAGCATTGATTAAGTTGCACACAATCATATCCTGTGCTGGCCAACATAAGGATTTGCAGTGCTGCCAACTCTCCTCTGTTTATATACTCCCCAAATAAACAAGGAGTTAAACATTAAAGCTCATGTGAATACACACTGTTTCCCTCTAAGACTTTCTATCTAGCCATGCCCCACGCTTGATTTTGAGTAATTTTAAGTTACAGAAGTATGCAAATAATAATATGATACATCTGTGGACCCTACTACCTAGAAATGATAACTGCTAACTTTCTGACATACCTGCTTCAAGTCTATTTTTAAAATAAGAGAAAATAAATGGTTACAGATAAAGCCACATCCCCAAGATCCATTTCCTGCTTCTACCTAGAAGTAACTGGTATCATAATTTTAATGTGTTATCTTTACAGTCTATTTTCCTTATAGTTTCACATGTATTTGTTCCATGGACAAGTACTGTGTGTATTTTAAAATTTTTTACATAAGTAGTTTTGCACTCTGTCATTCTACAATTTGCTTCCTCTATTAGCATTGTTTTTGAGATCTAGCCTTGTTGGTATACAATCCCATTTAATGTAATACAGCATTTCATTGTATAACCACACTAAATTTTATCTGTTCTCTACTGATGGAAATTTAGGTGATTTCTAGTTTTTCATTATTATAAACATGATGTGAGAAGTGGATTTGCTGAGTCACTGGGATGGGCATTTTCAACTTTTTAAATGTGTCTCAATGTTCTCCTCTCCACAGTGATAAACTGCAGCAGCTACATGTATCCACAGAGTATGTGAATTCCCATTACCTCAATGTCCTCCCAACTATTCATACTGTCAGAAATTTTAATTTTTGCTAGTATGAGCATGTTTGCAGATGGTTATTAGACATTCTGGTTTCCTTTTGTATAAATCCTCTGTTCATTTCTTTTGCTCATTAGTCTATTGTAGTGCCTTTTTCTTACTAATTATGTATTCTGAATATTAACCTTTGGTCTATAGTATATATGTTGCAAATATCTTCTTTTAACTATGGTGCCTTTGCTACCCAAATGTCATAAGCATATTCTCCTACATTTTCTTCAATTTTATCTATTTTTTGAATTTAGATATTTCATCCACGTGGAATTTATTTTTGTATATGGAGTAATATAAGCATCTCATTCTATTTTTTCCATAGGGATGTTGTTTGTGCCAATAGGCTTTATTTTAAATTCTTTCCCCCATACTTTTCCCCACATGCTTACAGTCCTTTGTACTAAGGAAGGAAACGACTACCATTGGAATATACATCATGCTCACCTCATTTCCATGCACCATGAGGTGGTGTACAGTAACCAGGGCTTTGAACACCACCACCCAGCTACTGCTCCTAGTTTTTTCAGAAAGAATATTAGCCAGATGTTCAACACTCATGTTAGTTTCATTGATGTACTGTATTAGATCTAAATGAGAGACAATGATAAGCATTAGAATACAGACTGAGAAATACTTTTCAAAACCAAAATTGGTAATTTTAACTTAAGTACAGATGCAATCAAATGTTGGAGAAATGACATAGGGAACCCTCAAAAATATTTTCTTCGTTACATGTATTACAATTTGCACTGTTATATGTTACATGATATTTAATGCTTTTAATTATCTTGCATACTTGATGAGGGCAGGGAATGAATCCATTTTGGTCCTCAAGGCCCAGCAAAGCAGATGGCACATAACAGGTTCTGGTCAATACTTATTAAATGAATGAACAGTACTGAAGAAGGTGACATACCCAAGATCATACAGGTAGTTAAATGGCAGGGCTGGGATTTGAAATTAGATTTGTTTGACCCTAGAGATCAAGCTATTAACCACTGTCACTGCTTCTCTCAAGAAAACTGTCATTCCATGAAGGTTCAGTTAGGAACTTTCTTTGTACTGTCACCCCATCTCTGACCCTTTTATCTGCATCCTGTATCCTTTTATTTATTGCTTCTATTTCTTGAGTTCAGTAGCTCATAGCTTTGTACCTAGTTTATTGTGACAGCTTTTAAATTTCTGGTCTCATGCCTATAACCATTCATGAATTCATTTCATACAGCCCCTCAAAAGTTAAGTTTCATAATTCGATTTTCACATTCAAGAACACACAATGATTCCCTCCTTTTTACCAGTTCAAAATCTTCTTTGCTTTCAAAACTGTCTACAAACTATCATTATGCAACAACTTCATCCATGGTACTTATTAATTAATGAGCATTTCTTTAGGTTTTCAGAAGCCAATTCTGGCATATATTACATAAATATCCAGGACTGTGTAATATATACAGAGACTCTAGTATGTGACCTGCTGAGAATAATGCTTAGCAAACATATATATATGAAATTAATCTCTGTTTAACTTAGTAACTTGCTGTAACACATGCACATTATCATGATGATAAGAAGATAAAACTTCAGAAGGCAAATACAGATTAAGTCAATGAATAGTTTAAGCAAAATACCAAAATAAAGGGGTGATCAAAAGAATGAGTTAGCTATGAAGGTTTCAATAGCAGTAAAATTTAATTATATTACCAATAACACACATTGTTTGTGAAGTCACTGCTCACTATAAGCTCAAACAACAGGGAGTGGGGCTAGACTGGATAGATTGGGAGTCTATCCTTTGAGCAACGGGTCACTCTAGGAATCAAAAATCTTCCTCCTAGAAACATACACAGGGCACAAAAATTATGCCATGGACACTCTAAAGCCTATTCATGGACGTTAGGTTAGGAATACCTAAGGGAGAATCTATTCAATAGACTTTCCTTCAGAAGACTCGCTGAATGTTATAATTTATAAGAGCACTGGGGTGAACTTGGGAAAAGAAACCTTTCTAAGAAGCCTGGGTTATTATTCCACCCTCTTTGTCTCCTATCTTAGTTGAATAATTTCTAAATATTTTGGAATTTGGAGTTAAAAACACCAGAGGTCGCTTTGGGAGGCCGAGGCGGGTGGATCACCTGAGGTCAGGAGTTCAAGACCAGCCTGACCAACATGGAGAAACCCCGTCTCTACTGAAAATACCAAATTAGCTGGGCGTGGTGGCGGGCTCCTGTAGTCCCAGCTAATCACGAGGCTGAGGCAGGAGAATCGCTCGAATCCGGGAGGCAGAGGTTACAGTGAGCAGAGATCACCACTGCACTCCAGCCTGGGCAACACAGTGAGACTCTGTCTCAAATAAAAAAAGAAAACCACCAGAGGTTCCCTTCTGTGCTCAATCAAAGATTACTAGAAATGACAGTTCAAACTCCCCCTCCTGCAGGGACGTGGAAAAGGGGAGGGCATTGAGGTGAGTGGGAGGGGAGTAGCGGAAGGGGAGGGGAACAAGGTGCCGCCATTAGGAGGTTCTTCCCCACTCAGACTGCACTAGCGGCGTGGGCTGCCCATACCCGGCCTCCTACTCACCAGCCAGTTGTTTCGGCTCAGGCTCCGTGGGCTCATCGTTGGTTGCCCTGAGGGCAGCCTTGGATGCAGATAACCCCATGGGCGAGTCGCAGACTGCCAGTCACAAGGGTGATGGCGACAGAGTCCAGCCCCACCTCTTCCAGACCACAGAGGACCGCATCCCTGAGCAGGGTACTGGCACCCCTGGTGTTGGACGAGGAGCCCCAGGTGATGGAAGAAATGCCTGACCCTGCAGGGAGCCCTCACCAGGCGACCTTACTTCATGCAGCCTGACGCAGACATCCAGCATTATGAGGTGGGATTTGAACTTACGAGGAGCTCGGGCTCTGCAAGAATGCTGGGAAATATGGCTGCCCGGCCCAAGAAGGCATGTACCACGAACTTGCTTGGTTTCTGAGGGCAAGTCCAGGTTTGGGGCAGGGCGTCTCTAGAGGAGCTAGGGCACTTTGCATACTACATGGCACAGTAACAAAATAAACAACAACCATTAATGAACATTATGAGGAAGGGGGACATGTTGGGGACTCCACATGCAAGGTCACGAGATCTTCAGGTCTTGGAAAGTTAGGTGATCCTGTGACAATACCTTGGAAATTCTTGATATGGCATTGTTAGGGAAGCTTCAGTCACACATTATCAGGGCTGTAGCCTGCATGAGGTCATGTCTTCCTACTCTTCAGGCAGCATCAAATCCACAAGTCCATAGAGTTGTTCATAGTATTTCTTTATTATCCTTTTAATATCTGTAGACTCTTTAGTGATGTTACTTCTCTCACTCTTCATATTGGTAATGTATGTCTTTTTTTTCTCTTGATTGGTCTGCCTAAAGAGTTAATTGTGCTTTGGGAGGCCGAGATGGGCAGATCACGAGGTCAGGAGATGGAGACCATACTGGCTAACACGGTGAAACCCCGTCTCTACTAAAAATACAAAAAATGAGCCGGGCGAGGTGGCGGCGCCTGTGGTCCCAGCTCCTCGGGAGGCTGAGGCAGGAGAATGGCGGGAACCCGGGAGGCGGAGCTTGCAGTGAGCCGCGATCGCGCCACTCACTCCAGCCTGGGCCACAGAGTAAAACTGTCGCAAAAAAATGAATAAATAAATAAATAAACCAACTTTTGGTATCATGAGGTTTCTCTGTTTTCTGTTTCTATTTCATTAACTTGTGCTTTTTTTTTTATATAGAAAGATTTTTATTTATTTATTATTTTTTAAATTTATTTATTATTATTATACTTTAAGTTGTAGGGTACATGTGCATAACGTGCAGGTTTGTTACATATGTATACTTGTGCCATGTTGCTGTGCTGCACCCATCAACTCGTCATTTACATCAGGTATAACTCCCAATGCAATCCCTCCCCCCTCCCCCCTCCCCATGATAGGCCCCGGTGTGTGATGTTCCCCTTCCTGAGTCCGAGTGATCTCATTGTTCAGTTCCCACCTATGAGTGAGAACATGCGGTGTTTGGTTTTCTGTTCTTGTGATAGTTTGCTAAGAATGATGGATTCCAGCTGCATCCAAGTCCCTACAAAGGACTCAAACTCATCCTTTTTTATGGCTGCATAGTATTCCATGGTGTATATGTGCCACATTTTCTTAATCCAGTCTGTCACTGATGGACATTTGGGTTGATTCCAAGTCTTTGCTATTGTGAATAGTGCTGCAATAAATATACATGTGCATGTGTCTTTATAGCAGCATAATTTATAATCCTTTGGGTATATACCCAGTAATGGGATGGCTGGGTCATATGGTACATCTAGTTCTAGATCCTTGAGGAATCGCCATACTGTTTTCCATAATGGTTGAACTAGTTTACAATCCCACCAACAGTGTAAAAGTGTTCCTATTTCTCCACATCCTCTCCAGCACCTGTTGTTTCCTGACTTTTTAATGATTGCCATTCTAACTGGTGTGAGATGGTATCTCATTGTGGTTTTGATTTGCATTTCTCTGATGGCCAGTGATGATGAGCATTTTTTCATGTGTCTGTTGGCTGTATGAATGTCTTCTTTTGAGAAATGTCTGTTCATATCCTTTGCCCACTTTTTGATGGGGTTGTTTGTTTTTTTCTTGTAAATTTGTTTGAGTTCTTTGTAGGTTCTGGATATTAGCCCTTTGTCAGATGAGTAGATTGCAAAAATTTTCTCCCATTCTGTAGGTTGCCTATTCACTCTGATGGTAGTTTCTTTTGCTGTGCAGAAGCTCTTTAGTTTAATGAGATCCCATTTGTCAATTTTGGCTTTTGCTGCCATTGCTTTTGGTGTTTTAGACATGAAGTCTTTGCCCATGCCTATGTCCTGAATGGTACTACCTAGGTTTTCCTCTAGGATTTTTATGGTATTAGGTCTAACATTTAAGTCTCTAATCCATCTTGAATTAATTTTCGTATAAGGAGTAAGGAAAGGATCCAGTTTCAGCTTTCTACTTATGGCTAGCCAATTTTCCCAGCACCATTTATTAAATAGGGAATCCTTTCCCCATTTCTTGTTTCTCTCAGGTTTGTCAAAGATCAAATGGCTGTAGATGTGTGGTATTATTTCTGAGGACTCTGTTCTGTTCCATTGGTCTATATCTCTGTTTTGGTACCAGTACCATGCTGTTTTGGTTACTGTAGCCTTGTAGTATAGTTTGAAGTCAGGTAGCGTGATGCCTCCAGCTTTGTTCTTTTGACTTAGGATTGTCTTGGAGATGCGGGCTCTTTTTTGGTTCCATATGAACTTTAAAGCAGTTTTTTCCAATTCTGTGAAGAAACTCATTGGTAGCTTGATGGGGATGGCATTGAATCTATAAATTACCTTGGGCAGTATGGCCATTTTCATGATATTGATTCTTCCTATCCATGAGCATGGTATGTTCTTCCATTTGTTTGTGTCCTCTTTGATTTCACTGAGCAGTGGTTTGTAGTTCTCCTTGAAGAGGTCCTTTACATCCCTTGTAAGTTGGATTCTTAGGTATTTGATTCTCTTTGAAGCAATTGTGAATGGAAGTTCATTCCTGATTTGGCTCTCTGTTTGTCTGTTACTGGTGTATAAGAATGCTTGTGATTTTTGCACATTAATTTTGTATCCTGAGACTTTGCTGAAGTTGCTTATCAGCTTAAGGAGATTTTGGGCTGAGACAATGGGGTTTTCTAAATATACAATCATGTCATCTGCAAACAGGGACAATTTGACTTCTTCTTTTCCTAACTGAATACCCTTGATTTCTTTCTCTTGCCTGATTGCCCTAGCCAGAACTTCCAACACTATGTTGAATAGGAGTGGTGAGAGAGGGCATCCCTGTCTTGTGCCAGTTTTCAAAGGGAATTTTTCCAGTTTTTGCCCATTCAGTATGATATTGGCTGTGGGTTTGTCATAAATAGCTCTTATGATTTTGAGGTACGTTCCATCAATACCAAATTTATTGAGAGTTTTTAGCATGAAGGGCTGTTGAATTTTGTCAAAAGCCTTTTCTGCATCTATTGAGATAATCATGTGGTTCTTGTCTTTGGTTCTGTTTATATGCTGGATTATGTTTATTGATTTGCAAATGTTGAACCAGCCTTGCATCCCAGGGATGAAGCCCACTTGATCATGGTGGATAAGCTTTTTGATGTGTTGCTGAATCCGGTTTGCCAGTATTTTATTGAGGATTTTTGCATCGATGTTCATCAGGGATATTGGTCTAAAATTCTCTTTTTTTGTTGTGTCTCTGCCAGGCTTTGGTATCAGGATGATGTTGGCCTCATAAAATGAGTTAGGGAGGATTCCCTCTTTTTCTATTGATTGGAATAGTTTCAGAAGGAATGGTACCAACTCCTCCTTGTACCTCTGGTAGAATTCAGCTGTGAATCCATCTGGTCCTGGACTTTTTTTGGTTGGTAGGCTATTAATTGTTGCCTCAATTTCAGAGCCTGCTATTGGTCTATTCAGGGATTCAACTTCTTCCTGGTTTAGTCTTGGAAGAGTGTAAGTGTTCAGGAAATTATCCATTTCTTCTAGATTTTCTAGTTTATTTGCGTAGAGGTGTTTATAGTATTCTCTGATGGTAGTTTGTATTTCTGTGGGGTCGGTGGTGATATCCCCTTTATCATTTTTAATTGCATCGATCTGATTCTTCTCTCTTTTCTTCTTTATTAGTCTGGCTAGTGGTCTGTCAATTTTGTTGATCTTTTCAAAAAACCAACTCCTGGATTCATTGATTTTTTGGAGGGTTTTTTGTGTCTCTATCTCCTTCAGTTCTGCTCTGATCTTAGTTATTTCTTGCCTTCTGCTAGCTTTCGAATGTGTTTGCTCTTGCTTCTCTAGTTCTTTTAATTGCGATGTTAGAGTGTCAATTTTAGATCTTTCCTGCTTTCTCTTGTGGGCATTTAGTGCTATAAATTTCCCTCTACACACTGCTTTAAATGTGTCCCAGAGATTCTGGTATGTTGTATCTTTGTTCTCATTGGTTTCAAAGAACATCTTTATTTCTGCCTTCATTTCGTTATGTACCCAGTAGTCATTCAGGAGCAGGTTGTTCAGTTTCCATGTAGTTGAGCGGTTTTGATTGAGTTTCTTAGTCCTGAGTTCTAGTTTGATTGCACTGTGGTCTGAGAGACAGTTTGTTATAATTTCTGTTCTTGTGCATTTGCTGAGGAGTGCTTTACTTCCAATTACGTGGTCAATTTTGGACTAAGTATGATGTGGTGCTGAGAAGAATGTATATTCTGTTGATTTGGGGTGGAGAGTTCTATAGATGTCTATTAGGTCTGCTTGCTGCAGAGATGAGTTCAATTCCTGGATATCCTTGTTAACTTTCTGTCTCGTTGATCTGTCTAATGTTGACAGTGGAGTGTTGAAGTCTCCCATTATTATTGTATGGGAGTCTAAGTCTCTTTGTAAGTCTCTAAGGACTTGCTTTATGAATCTGGGTGCTCCTGTATTGGGTGCATATATATTTAGGATAGTTAGCTCTTCCTGTTGAATTGATCCCTTTACCATTATGTAATGGCCTTCTTTGTCTCTTTTGATCTTTGATGGTTTAAAGTCTGTTTTATCAGAGACTAGTATTGCAACCCCTGCTTTTTTTTGTTCTCCATTTGCTTGGTAAATCTTCCGCCATCCCTTTATTTTGAGCCTATGTATGTCTCTGCGTGTGAGATGGGTCTCCTGAATACAGCAGACTGATGGGTCTTGACTCTTTATCCAGTTTGCCAGTCTGTGTCTTTTAATTGGAGCATTTAGTCCATTTACATTTAAGGTTAATATTGTTATGTGTGAACTTGATCCTGCCATTATGATATTAACTGGTTATTTTGCTCGTTAGTTGATGCAGTTTCTTCCTAGCCTCGATGGTCTTTACATTTTGGCATGTTTTTGCAATGGCTGGTACCGGTTGTTCCTTTCCATGTTTAGTGCTTCCTTCAGGGTCTCTTGTAAGGCAGGCCTAGTGGTGACAAAATCTCTAAGCATTTGCTTATCTGTAAAGGATTTTATTTCTCCTTCACTTATGAAACTTAGTTTGGCTGGATATGAAATTCTGGGTTTAAAATTCTTTTCTTTAAGAATGTTGAATATTGGCCCCCACTCTCTTCTGGCTTGGAGAGTTTCTGCTGAGAGATCTGCTGTTAGTCTGATGGGCTTCCCTTTGTGGGTAACCCGACCTTTCTCTCTGGCTGCCCTTAAGATTTTTTCCTTCATTTCAACTTTGGTGAATCTGGCAATTATGTGTCTTGGAGT